GAGCCAAGAGTGTCAGTCGCCGGTGTCTCGAGTCAATAGACGGAACTGCAAGTCAGTAGGTGGACCTAGGAGTTGGTAGGCGGAGCCACGAGTATCAATAGGCGGTGCCATGAGTCAGTAGGCGGTGTCATGAGTCAGTAGGCGGTGCATGTCTGCCGATAAGGCGGTGTCTCGAAGCATTAGGCGGATCTACGAGTCAATAGCCGGAGAATACGAACAGTGGGCTACACAAACACCTCTTAAAACAGTGGTAGGAAAGTTCGAGCGGCTAATAAAATCCGCCACACCTCTCCAGCGACTATCAGGGCACTCTCAACCGCAATTTTCGTTGGAACCCTCACCTTGAGAACTGGCGCAAGTGTCGGCCAGGGACTCGACGGACGCCAAATAAGGATTGACGTTGCACGCGTTCCCTTGATTGCTGCATCCACTGGAAGAGGTGCTGGACGCCACCGAGCTTCCAGACAGAGGTCTGCCGGCGTTTCTGCATCGTCTGTTGTACCTCAATGGCGTCAGTCCGTTGCTCTCTCGACGATATGGCTTCTCCACGATCGCGCAGTCGTTTCGATCCTCCTGCTGGCCGTTCACCGTCTCGTAAACGTTGTCCTCCTTCTCTCGCCCGATCAGCTCGACCACGAAGTTCATGTTGCTCTCCGTACCTCGTTGATCGTTCATCGCGTCCTCCGGCTGGGTCTTCGTTATCTCCGGACAGAACTGATCGAATATGGAGCCCCGATGAGATTGGGACACCAGGCTGAATCGTTTCTGAAGCTCTGGTGGCAGGACTACATGATCGTATCCATTACCGCGACGCGAGAGCTCGTCGTACATACCCAGCATTTGAGGTACCAGGTCCGTGCTCGAGCCTGAAACAAAAATCATCATATGTTGGTTAAAGGACTCGCCTGTACGAATCTTGTTTAATAAGATGTTGAGATACAGACTGCCAAGTCTTCAGGGTTGAATTGTTCGAGTCCTAATGTATACAAGGTACTAAAGAAACACAGTATTAACCTTGAAGTGACCTTTAAAAAAGTACCTAGAAGATCTAGTAAACTTTACACAGATCTGTTTAAAATAATAATGACTGGTACCATAGGGATACAATTTTATAGACGTCGCGAGGACCTTAGGTCATCGAAACGCAATAGAAAAATTTCGTTTATAACGAATATCATATTTCAGACATCGGTGCAGTCTGGACTGGCAAACACCGCGCGCTTTTACTCGTGCAGGCCGCGAAACATAACGATATTGTATAAACAAACGAGAAGGGTGATGGTTTCCAATTCCCGGCGAGGCAGACGTGAATCAACGTGCAATGAACTTGTCCGCACTAACACGCGCGCGCATCGATGCGTTTTAGCGTTTTGCATACCGAAAGTATATACAGGGTGGTCCAGAAACAACGTATCGACCGGTGATATTTGTTTCACTCCAAGGAATGATCCGAACCTTTGTCAGGTTCATAGAGATGGTATCGGACATTGAGATTTCAAGCTGTAAACATTCAATGCGTATGCAGGGTGACTCAAAAGTATCACTGGAAAATTAAGCACGATTTTGAGCCTCTCTATACCTCACTCTAATTAAAGAAATGCGATACGACTAAATGGTTTCGTAGCTTCCGCGCTAAATTTATTTTACGCTCGCGGCTGTAACATTTGCGATTAAACACGATCTAAAATAAGGGCTAAAGCAGTAAAGCATCCACCTCCTGGCGTACGAAGGAAGTTATTCTTTCGGGATTCGCAGCTGTCGGATACAAATGCAGACATCCCTCATAAAGAACGCGCAAAGAAAGCAGAGTATATTTTTGCGCGGCGAGATTTATCGTCGGACCAATTTGCTGTCGGTTATTTATGTTCATTTGTATTGAAGACGAAAAAAAAAAGTTGCACCGTGCACGGCCACGAGCGCGCGCGAAATACTTCCCTCGAAAGTTGCTCGAATCGCGATATCCCAAGGGGGAGGGGAGGGGAGGGTTCCTATAACAGGAAGTCCCTAACTGGATTGAAGAAGAACAGCGAACGATCTTACAGGTCGATGGTTTGTATATCTTTCTGGTTCTTCCCATTTTTATGGGCAAAACTGTTTGCTTTCAGAAAACAGTACCTCTCGACAGGAGAACCGGTTTCTTTTGTTCTTCGCGATATTACGCGCGAGGACTTCCAAGATATTTTTAGATCAGTGCATGGATGGAATTCATTCAATAGTTTCAACCGTTTTTTTTTTGGATATTTAACGATTTCTATTAGGTTGTCCAGAAAGTTCGCGCCAATTTTTAAGAAAACTTCAAAGGCACGTTTGAATTGTAATATACATTTATTTATATGTATATTTATTGAATTACATGGGTACCATTTTGTTCCACAACCTTTTCACCTTTTAAGAGATGTACATATATATATGTTATTTGTTTTCAGCCATTTCGACATATTCAGACCTGCACCACCTATCAAAAATCGGTATGGACTTTCCGGACAACCCCAATAGATATTCGAATATTTTAAGGCATTCAATAATGCCTTCAATAATCCAGAGAATATTCTCAAGACATGTCTAAAACTATCCTCGCTAGTTTACAATTTCTCTTGCAATGAAACCGTATACATTTATAAATTACAGATTTCTTATTTGTAATTTATAAGTGTACGTTATAATTGGGGCCTCGGAAGCTTCGCAAGGCGGGGAATGAAACGGGCAACGAGACACCATGCAGTGATCTCGAGGCTCGAGACGGAGAGCAGACCATTTCTCTCTCCGCTCCTTTCCGCTTTGCTCCGCTTCGCTCGTTGCTGGCCATATGCGTTCCTCCCCGATCGCGATGTTGCACTTGGCTGGAACTCGGCTAATAATAGAACGGGACCAACTTTCGTCTCGGCCTCGCGTGCACCAGCTTCCCCCTGCCTGTCACGTTAGAAGCCGATGACACGCTTCGGGCTTTCTCGCTACTCGAAAGAACGTGCTTCGTATCGGGCCATCTCGTAGCCGATACACCGTTTACAAAAGTATCGATCATATCACAAATAATTCGTAGATATACAGAGTAACTCGATTGATTTAAACCTACTCGTGGAATTCAATCGATCGACAGGGGGCGTGTCTGAAACGCCCATGGGGCGTTCACTTCGCGTGCCTGACGACTAGGACTGCTGGAAAAGAATAAAATGATTTTATTATTTTCATCCGGAGTAAATGATTCTAAAA